CTACTTTTTTACTAGTGATAGACATTTATGTGATGTTAATGCTTATTTCTTATGATAAACAGCAACAGCTTTGCCACATCTGTAGGCTACTTGTAACAGATGAGAAATAACAAATATGTCTATTGAAATAACTGTAGCCCTTAAAGAGAGAGAGAGAGGGTATAGTAAATATGAGATGACATTATACAAACTATCCACTCCCTCTTTACTGGGAACTGTGTACATATAATGGCAAACAAGTATATCACATTTCCTCCCCTTTCTATCACTATAGCTATGTTACTGTCAGAGCTCATTACCAAGTACTTAGTTTACAATACTGCATTCATTCTATCTCAGACAGCACTTTATGACTCTCCCCTCTCTGATCTCTTTCCCTCCCATCCCCCACTCACTCTCTTCCTGCTAACTTATATGTGACATATCAATGCTATGATTAGACATACAAGATAAGACATTGAGACAAAATAATAGGAATACATATAATTAGTAACAGAAGTGAAGGAAATAACAGCATTATTCACATTATACTATAGTGAGGGGGAGAGGTATAGAGAAATGTGATAGTTATGTTCTATACAAACTCTTCAGTAGTAGCAGTTATACTAGTAGTAGTAATAGTAGCTAATGGATCATGTTGTTCCTTTATCTTGAAAGTTTATCATAACATTTCCTTTCAGTAAACATAGTGATGGCTAAGTCCAAATGCTTTCTGTTTATGTAGAGTTTATATACATACAGGAGATGATATGAGGAGTATTGTTGGTATTAGTCATCAAAATAAACCAACAATGTATGTAAGACAAATCAAGTGATGTGTGTGCCTTTTATAAACATTCATGATTATTAATATATGGACCTTATTCATGCTGTATCAAGTACTGGAATCAATTGTACATTAATAATACACAATATAATCTTCAGTATAGCAGTACATTACTGTACATTAGGAATAATGATGCATGGTAGAATAGTTCACATGCTACAGTGAGGGGAGTGGTATTGAAATTTGATAGGTATGTCCTGTATAAACTCTTCCCTCTTACAGTATATGATACATGTTTATGTATCAGAAAATGTAATTAAAAAGGAGAATTCTTTTTAAGGGAAATTTGGCCAAAGACCATGTACTACAGTACATGTATTTAAGCTGAATTTTTGAGTAACTTTAAAAATTCGTAAATAATTCAATTTTGATCGGAATCGGCTCAAACTTTCTAGACAACATAAGTACATGTATATGCATCAGGAAAAATTATAAAAATGGAAAAACTTTGACTTTTTAATTTTGGTAAAATTTGGCCAGTGACGCTGTACTATAGTACAGGGATTTTGATTTGATTTTGGACTACCTTTAAAAATTTATAAAAAATTTTATTTTAAACGGAATCAGTTTAAACTTTCTACACAACATAAAAACATATATATGCATCAGAGAATATCATAAAAATTGAGAAATCTGTACTTTTAAATTTTGGAAAAACTTGGCATGACCCTGTACTATAGTACAGGGACTTTGGCCTAATTTTAGAGTAACTTTAAAAATTTGTAAAAAATCCAAATTTGATCAGAATGAGCTCAAACTTTCTACGCAACATAAAAACATATATATGCATCAAAAATATCATAAAAATTGACAATTCTTTAGTTTTCAATTTCGGTGAAATTTGGCCAATGACCCTGTACTATTACAGGGACTTTGGCCCAATTTTAGAGTAGCTTTAAAAATTTGTAAAAATTCAATTTTGATTGAAATGAACATATAACAGTGCATGTATATAAATTTAATTATTGTATTAATTTTTGAGCTGGTCACACCTTTAAACCACGCCCCATTAGTTCACACGTCCCTCAAGGTTGACCTGCTTTGCATTTCTGGTGTGTCCAGTGTTGCAGTCTATACAAGTAGCCTTGTTCAATTGAGATCAGTAACTTATTAGTCTGCAGTACTTCTCAAGTACTCTCTGGTCTAGTGTCCCTTCACATACTGACTGATGCACATCATATACCTGGTGAGTGAAGACTAACAACACAATCACTAAAATCAATATATTCATTATATCAAGGATATAATGAATAATATTGATTATATTGAATATATTAAATATATTAATAATATTTTATATTGATCCCTAATTATATCATACACTGTCTGATTCATAAGACTGTCTAGTAGTGTCTGTAGTACATATATTGGTAATGGATACTTATTAGTAGATGCAATGTCCAATAAGTGTGGGTTGTCATTCATTGCTTGACTGTAAGGTATCATAAATGTAACCTACAATAGTTTATACAGGAGCTTGCATGTAACTTGAAATAGACTG